ACTAATCGTCCTAAATTCGATTTCTTTGTATCAAAATACTTAGAAAAATATTCTGCTTTGGAAAATGAAATTAAAACTATGCTGTCATTAAAAAAAGTAAAAAACTTAAAAAATTATAAGGATAAAAAATATTTAAAAATATAATTTTTTAATAAAAACGTTGTTTTTTAATAACTCGAAACTATGTAAGAAAATATTTTCAAAAACATTAATACTTTTTGAGATAATGACGTTGTACGCTTAGTGAATCAACCTGTATAATATAAATGTATATAAAATATAAATATAAAAAAAACATTTAATACAGATTTCATAATAATTTAGAAGATAAGAATGATGATAGACTTTCAAACTTGTGAATGACATTAGAGTTATTTATTGGAAAATTTTCACATGTTATCAACATTAAGTTTTTAAGTCTGCCTTGTGCGATAGTGCTACGTATTCGATTTTTTGTAATATTTAGTTTTGAAAATGTGCATTCAGGCGATTCACTTGTAACAGGCAATGTGGTTGTCATATGAAGTGCCGTATAAAGAGTCAGATAAACTTCTCTTGATCTAGTTGTATGACATAATTTTAATAAATCAAGTTAATTAACTAAATTTGTATTTTAATTATCGTTGTCCATTTTGTCATTAAAATCAGAATCAACGGTTTGTGTATTTTCACTACCATCCAACATCTTATCTTAATCATAAACATATTTATTACAACCACAGTTCAAATTTCACATAATGTGATTCACTATATTGACTGCTAGACATAAAAAATCTGGTTATCTGGTTATAACAAATGGGTGTAGAACATTATCAACTAATTTGCAAAAGTGAAAAGTATAATGTTTTTACAACTATAGGTAGTTAAATTGTTTAAAATTAAATTTTATAAAACTTGAATCAGATATTAAAAAATCTTGTAAAAGTTACTTTAAGTGAGAGTAGTATATTAATTTTATATTTACCAATAGAGAAGTCTCCATCTCGTGAGTGGCTTTGTGTTCTGTTATAGAAGTAGTTTACACGGCCAGAACTTCACTCTCTTGTTGTTTAACTGTATATATTATATCATGTCATGTAAATTAAATATAAAATCATAATGAAGCAAATAACACAGACAAATATTAGTTTTAATTGAGAGTTACTTTCAAATCTGTACACGATTATCACAATTAACACATTAATTTAGATACCTACCTTTAAAACCTATTTTTTTTTTAATTGTTAATACATTAGTTGTTGGTTAAGTATTTTACTAATGTTTTTGTACTGAATATAGCTTAACTAGTGAAAGCAGAATTTTAATATAGGATTATAATTTATAGTTATTACTATGGTTTTTTACATTTTTTTAAATATTTAATATCTAGAAATAGTTATTTTTTGTTACGCACGTCTCTATAACCACAACAATAATTTATCTGTTATCGTGTTTCATTAACAAAATAACTCTTTTAGAATATTTAAAAATAAAAACTAAACACTGTATTGAAATCAGTGGCGTATATAGGGGAGAGGCCCCTTAGGCCAGAACCCATAGTGAAATTGCAGGTTCAATTAAAGCACTTCATGTATATCTACACTGTTTACAATTTATCACCATGATTAATTTAGCCGGTTGTTAAAATCGTTTTTGAGGAATCAACAAGGAAATGATTAAATTGTCATTTTTTACAGTCGTTAGTGCAAATTATTATTTCATAAAAATATTTGAAAAGTTTCTTTGTTCTTATTTACTTTCCCGTTTACAAAATTATAGTGTTTTGATTTATTTTCATTCAGTGAGTGAGGGACTACCTAGTGTCCTGGTACATACCTATTTAGATTTAAAATTTTCTCATGATTTTTTTACATGATGCATATTTTGAGTGCATAATTTAAAAATATTAGGGCATATAAATGCATATTTTCGAATTTTTTAGTGCATATTTTAATGCATATTTTGACAATTTTTAGTGCATGCAGTAACGAGCCCTGGTTATTACTTATATTTAGTTCACTATTTTTTACTGGATTAACCAACTCTATGGTTATTTTAGTTGCAAATTTCTTTTGGTACTTAACAACGCATAATTAATTGTTATCATCAACCATTGCTACGCCATGATAGAAAAACTATGTTTAATGTGTATAGAATTTAAAATAATATGGAATAAAATTTCACTTACTACATTTGTTTAATTTTTGGGTTGAAATCTTTTGTACAATTTAAAAAGCGTATCTTAAGTAAGGAACCACCGCTATATTGAAATTATTACTAACTAATATTATAAATTAATTATATTTCAGATATTATACAACAAATTATTGAATTAGGATATATTATGTTTTATTTGAATCAACATTATTAAATTAAAATTAATTTGAAACATGGATTTAAAATCTAAATCACTGCAAAGTAATATTCAATTTTATTATATATTTTTATATTCATCAATAATTACATAGTTTAATTTATATATTTTTTGTTAATATTTTTAGAGTTCAGTCAAATTAATTCACGGCATAGTAATGAAGATTGGTATAATGGAAGCATTAAGTCTATCACTCTAGAAAATTTTATGTGCCATGCAAATTTCTATTTAACATTGAATCCTAGAATTAATTTTATATCGGGTTTGAATGGTAGTGGAAAGAGTGCTATCCAAACTGGTATTGTTGTAGGGTTTGGTGGTAGAGCAAGTATCACTAACCGTGCTAGTTCATTAAAGTCACTTATAAAATATGGACAACTATCAGCTACTATATCAATAACCATAGCAAATAGTGGAGAAGGAAATTTTGACTGTGGTCCTTACAAGCCTGAAGTGTATGGCAAGCAAATTACTATAGTAAGACAAATTACTGAATCATCTACTAACTATAAAATTTTAAATGAAAATAATAAAGTTGTTAAAGGCTTTAAAAATGAATTAAAAAATATGACACTTCATTTTAATATATTAGTGGATAATCCAATATGTATCATGAATCAAGTAATGGTAAAAACATTTCACAAAAGTGCAAATCCAAATGAGAAGTATGATCTTTTCTTTAGAGCCATATCTGCCAATATATTTACTGAAAAAATTGAAAAAACAAAATCAGTTGCAACAAATTACTCGGAAAAACTTGAAACTGTTAAAAGTGATTTGATACAATGTTTCAAACAATTAAGTGAATATGAGACTAATGAAAAAAAATATAAACAGTTAGAAAAATTGAAAAATAGTAAATTTCAATATGAAAACGAGTATGCTTGGTATACTGTTCATCAACTTGAAAGAACTTATAAACAGTGTTTTAAGCTAATTGAATCTCTTAAAGGTAATCTGTCTGAGAATACAGATAAAACAAACATTTTGGAACAGAATATAAAAACAAATTCACAAATGTTGAGATTAAAAAGAAATGAATTGACAAATATTGAACATTCTCGCTCACGTAATCATATAGTTTTCATGCAAACAAAAAAAGAATTACAGGACAAAATCAATGAGTTAGATTCAGTAAAGAAATCTGTTGAAAAATATGATTCTGCTTTAAAATTATTAATCAGTGATAGAAAAGATTTAGAAAAACACATTGAAGTTGAACGTCAAAAAGGCAATACCAATTCTTTAGCACAGTATAAAGAAATACTGGCACGCTATAAGAAAAATTGTTCTGAAGTGGAGGCAGCATGGAAAACAAATATGAAATATGAACAAACTCTAGGAAATACAGTTGATGAATTGAAGCAGAAAGTTGGAAATTTAATGAACAAGGAGCTTCCTCCTCTACAAAGAAAATTAGGTGAACTTAATAGAAATATCAATAGTATGTCTCAACAAGAAGACAGGATCAATTTGTATGGTAAATGGATGCCCCAACTAATTAAAACTATTGAAATCTTCTTTAGTCAAAATAAATTTATAAAAAAACCAATAGGTCCTATTGGGGAATACATTAAAGTGAACAATGAAAAATGGATATTTTCAGTCGAAAACTTCTTAGGTCGAGGAACTTTAAGAACATTTTTAGTAGATAATTTTACTGATAATAAAGTACTTCAATCGATAATGGATAGTTTAATTACAGGTAATGCAAGAAAACCAACTATTATCACTAGCAAATTTTTTGACAAAGTTCATAATATTACTCCTAAAGAAACTCAAAATAGTTTGTTTCGTATGTTAAATTTCACTAGTCCTGTAGTAGCTAATTGTTTGATTGATAACAATCATATTGAAACAATAATGCTTGTAGATGACACGGCAGAAGCTATGCCTATGATGGAAAAAGTGTCCATAGTTCCAAGAAATTGTAACTTTAGTTTAACTTTAGATGGAACACAAGTTTATCCTAGCCCTTCATACAGAGTATACTCTCTACAAAGTGCTAGTAAACCAATTCTCTTGCAAGGTAATGTTTCGGTTGCTATCAATAATTTAAAACTCGAGAAAAAAGAGTTAGAATTAAAAATTAATAAACTAAATAGAGAATTTGAAAATTTTGAACAGTCAAAAGTAGAAAAGCAACAACACTTTAACAAGGCGCAATCGGAAACAAAATTGCTTAAGGCCAAATATGATGAATACTCAAAAAAAATAAATAAACTTGAAGCTAAATGTGAGGAAGAACCAGATGACAGAATGGCTACTCTTACTGAAGCAATAAATGATGTTGATTTAAAAATATCTGAAGCCAAAGAATTTAAAGATAATTCCGAGAAACCAATTTCAAAGTTGAAAAACGAAATTAGATTAATAGAAGAGAAAATGCGAAAAGCAAAATATTTTATCGAAAAGACTCATCGTTCTGCATTTTTGCAAGAAATTGATAGCCTTCAACATAACATAAATGAACACAAAACCGAAATGTTGCAAATTACTAATAATTCAACCATATACAAACAATTATTAAGTAATTTACAAGAAAAAATGGAAAAGAAAAAAAAATCTAGAAAAAGAAATAATACAAGCTGATCAACTAGGGAAGAAAATACAAGGAACACGCAATGAAGAAGATATAAGGAGAGACATGGAAGAAACCAATCATAAATATGACTTATTAAAAATGGAGTTGGAAAATATAAGTGAAAACCATCTAGTTTTAAGAGATGAATATAAGAATAAAAAAGAAGAATATATACTGCTCAGTGCTTTACATAAACAAATTGAGGATATTTATAAATCCAACAAGAAAGCTATTGATCTTAGTGAAATAGCGCTTAAGTGCTACATTGAGTGTCTTCGGTTGAAAGTAACTGAAGCTTTTGACTTGGCTCTGATATTACGCAAAATTAAGGGTAAGCTTGAAATTGATAAACATGAAAAAACTATGGTAATTTCAATGTTTGATAACATAAGTACTTCATGCGCTTCCGGTGGTGAACGAACAATTGCTACAGTTGCTTTGATTTTGGCATTATGGAGCAACATGCAATTGCCATTTTACTCCATTGATGAATATGATGTATACATGGATAATGTTAATCGAATAGCCACTACTAAGCTGCTGATGAATGCTATTGAAAATCGTAAAAACCAATTCATAATTCTTACTCCACAAGACATATCTCATATAAAAAGTGCTGATAATATTAAGATTGTTAAACTAAACGAACCTAGATCTTAAATAGTTGTATATTTTTAGTTTTTACTGTTGTTATAGCTACTTGTTAAATTATACTTTGAGCAAACAAGAATTATTTTGTTTATGAAAGATAAAAGATAAAATTATTGTATCAAAATTAATGGAATAATATAAAATAATGTATCTATTACTATATTATACCTATTTTAACAGTTATATTTAAATGTAATGTAAAACTATTGATATTTTATTAATTTATTCATTCTTTTCAAATTATAATTAAAATCATTTTAAATTTTTAAAAATTGCTTTATATTTTATTGATTGTATAATAATAACATTGACATAATAACAAGAATTTAAAAAAAATATTTACAGTATATGAATTATTGTGAAAAAAATTAAGTTAATAACTAATAAGTAAATGTTAGGATTTTTCTGTTATTGGTCAAATATGAAGACATGAATGAATGATGTCACAAAGTTCATCAGATATTATATTTCAAATAAACACACACAACTAATCAATGTTTAACAAATTGTTTTTAATGTTTTTTTACCTCGAAAGTGTTTATTGGATTTTTTTTTAAGCACATAGGAAGGGGCTGGTGGGGCTGCGGCCCCTCCCGAAATGTTAAGAAAATTGAAAAATTATTTTAATGGTCTATGATAGTTGTTCATTAAGTCTTAAATTGTATTTAAAATATTTAAAAATGTACTATAAGTAATAACTCTTTTCAGCTATCTATCTGTGCTACTACGTATTTAATGTGTAAAATTGTAAAAGTTGATCAGCCCCCCCCTCGAAAAAAAATCCTGGATACGCTACTGACTGTTATGTACACTTAAGTTTTTTAATTTTAATTTTCATAATTTTTTTTTAAGTGTATTAGTATATTCAACCACAAATAACTTAAAATGTTATCATATTTTATAAGGAGCTATGTACAGACATAGTACAATTTTTATGGTGGGAGCGCAAATTTTATTTTATGCCAATATACTATATACTTAAGGACTAGATATGTTTAATCCTTGGAAAATTTAACATAATATTATTTTCTAAGATAAATCTTTATTGTAGCATGTAAAATTTAAATACATGAAGCTTCATGAAATTATGGTATAAGTAGGGACAAATAAAAACATTCTACATTTCTGCATTCTACCTATTACTTTATATTTACACAGCAAACTTACTAATAAAACTAACTAATACTAATAACACTACTAATTTTGTTTTCATATAATTTATAATTATATATTTACATCTAAGACGGGAAAATAAATATTAATTTTGAAATAAGATTCTAAAAAAATTAAGGTTTCACCTTGGTTTTATTTTTACTGGATAATTTTGATTTATTTTTTTTAATCTATCTCTTGTAAGCTAATAGCTTGTGTTAGAAATAGAGAGTAATACAATTTTAACTAAAATTGATATGCATATTACCTATATAGAAAATTAACAACAACAAAAAAGAAACAAGTATATACAAATAATAGACAATTTAAACACAGCAAAGAAACTAAAATTAAACTATTTTTAAATTATTTGAGAGAACAACCAATTTTATATCCTAGATAGTTGACAAAAGATTGATCAAAATATTTTCAAGGGTAATCAATAGATATATTAAACCGTCTATTTTCCCTTTGGTCTACAAAATCTTTAGAGGCCTTTACTGAAATTTTTAAAAGTGAATAGAATGGGAATTCTTTATATAGAAGTTTAACAGGTAGTACACCCAACTCTCTATAACTATGCTAGGTAGAACCTGATACAGAATATTTATTTAAGCAAATTCTAACTGTATTATTCTGGTTTATTTGTAGTTGATTTAAAAAACAATTTGCCGATCCTCCCCAAATTATTATTAACCCATATTGAAATATGAATTGGTATAACGCAAAATAAACTACAGGCATTGTAAGTTTTGGTAATAAATCTTTTAGTATATAGAATTTATAAGTTAACTGATGTAACTTTCCTACCAAATTATGTATATTGTGTTGATTCCAACGTAAATTATTATCAAATATGATATCTAAATATCGCGTACTTGAAACTTCCTTAATAGTTAAACAACTATTTAAGTCAGTAGGTACACGTACACCTCTTAGGTACCATCGATACACCTATGTATTTTAATATGATTAAGTGTTGGGAAACTTTTGTAAATTGAAAAGGTCATAAACATTGTTTTATTTTCGTTAAAGTTCAGATTTCCGTCACATGGAATTCGGTACCTACATATTATTTAATCCAACAGTCGCTTTGTGATGAACCCTGTTCCAAGTCTTATCGGTAAAAAGCAAGCAGGTATTGTCAGAGTAAGAGACCACCAACCCATCAATAATTAAATCACTATAATTTTAGATAGGTAATTTATAAAACCAATTTAATATTTCTAGCTTATTTAGTCATTGATACCACAAACTTGAAAAGTTTAAGCTAGGTTTGCCATCTATGAACATTTAATTTTTTTATCAAAAAATAAGCTAGCCAGCAACCATCTCCTCTCAACTCAAAATACATACTAACAAAAGTAATATTAAAATTAATTAACTAATTAGTTAGTATTAGTTACAATACTCAAAATATTGCTATCTGTCATCCTCGGGCACCGTCATTACGGTGATCTCTGGACTACAGATTAGACAATCGCACCATGCCTGAGAATCTAACTAAAAATAAACCACCCAAAACTGTCCCGTCAATTAAGATAGTAAAGCAATCTAATACCCATACAATCAGGGGCGTATACAAGGGGGGGGATGTGGGGGTCAGATCCCCCCCCATAGGCCTTTTTTTAAATTTTATAAAATAGTGTTCTTAATGAATTAATGTAAGGAAATTACAAGGAAAAAAAATGGCAAGGATTTTTTGTAAATTTTTATTTTAACACAATATTCAACAATTAATTAAAAATAATTTACATATAATCGTATAATCGTATTATGTGATATTTGATAATATGTATATTATATATACAAGTATAATAAATTATTATAAGAATAATAATATGTGGCAGACCAGCCACGGGCCGTCGCCACCGTCACCGATATCAACGCGGTGGAGACGATATAATAATACATTTTCCTATACATTAGAAAAAGAAATATTATTATGGTATAATATAAGGTTATTGCACGATGGTTTTTACGCATTTATACCAAAACATTATCAATTTTGTATAATATTATCAACTAACATGGATATACCTACAACATACTAGCTAATAGCTATCAGTAATTTTTTCATTGAAAGCTAAAAATTGCTTAAATAATAAATATTATTGACTAAAAAAAAAAAAGAAAATTAAATTTTGTTCTATAATTACTTGTAGAATTTAAAATAAAATGTATTGAATATATATATGTTTTATCATTTATTAGGTATTTAAATGAGCACATACCTAGGTTTAGGTATTTTCGTTCCATAATAATTTGTTTGCAACTGATCCCCCCCCATACAAAAGTTATGTATACGCCACTGCATACAATCAATAATGACTACATTATCAAGCTCCGAATGGCAACAACAAAAGCAATTGAGACGTAGTCTTCCAAACTCACCTGTTACCCCAGTCAACATACAGGGGAAAAAAACAAAATTATTTTTCTCACCAAACCGGTTATCTGTAGATGAACCTTCTAAAAAATTAATAAATTACACATATTCGTTACACAATAAATTCCAAAAATGAATCTAAAATAACTTTCATAGCCTTCGCGGCTGCAGTTTGACTGATCCAGTTGTTTAATTTTTGTAAATAGTACCTATTGTAATATTGTATTCTTCGTTTTCGCGGTAATGATTACGGTGTGGAATTGAAAAATTATTAAAAATAACAAATATAGCTCGAGGCTTAAACATACAATTTCTAGAGGGCCTGGGTAGTGGGTGGGTATGGCCACTTACCCGCCCTGCCTGTCCGCCACTGGTAGTAAGGTACCAAGGAAAATATTACAAATGTTTTAGTTGATGGTGTAGGTATTTAAACACTATAGTGTTTGTGAGTGTTGATTCAATGTTTAATAAATTAATTAACTTCTTATTATTATAGTTATAATTAAGTAAAGTACTTATCATAAATAGACGGATAGTACTATAAAGTCAAAAGAAAAATAGACTATAATAAATAATAATATAACTATAATTGATTTATTATATATGCATATATGCAGTCAAAAATATGTTTTTCAATTATTAAGTCTGTAACCGAAGCAATTGACTTTTTAATATTTTACTATGGTGTGAGCTAGGGTAGTAACCTTTTGTTAATATATTATATTAAGTATTAAAATTACAATTGTAAAGTGTATTACATGTAATAGACATAGTATAACCTGTAAGAATATATAAGATATAGTATAATAAAATACAATTTGCATTTAACCTATTAGGTACTACAATCATTAGTTATCAAATTCAAATACTAGTGTTCACTCCGGAAAATATGTAAAAACCACTGTTATTTTTCATTTTAAAACACAACAAATGTGTACATAATATATCTCAGCATATTCATGTTTCAAAGTTATTGAATTTTCTTTCTTTTCGCATATTTTGTGTCCTTTATATTATATGAAAACAATTATTACCTATAATATTTCCATTGGTTGTTTTTTGTATTAGTTTATCTGAATCCATCATTAAATAACTTAAAAAACAATTTGAAAATATATATAATGTGGCCTGGCGCCTAGGAACTAGGATTCGCGCGGGATGCGTTAAAAACGGATAATGTGTCCACTGTCATAAAAAACAACGTGTTTCAATAAATAAAACGTTATCCGGTATCAGTTTTCAACGCAGCATGTTGCATTGCGATCCGGCTGACGGACGACGGAACGTTGCTCACCGGACAGTGTGGTCAATTATATTCATATAAATGTGTTTCGTTTTTATCAGCTAACGTATCCGTTTTCACCGGTTACCAACGGACCGGTGAAAACGGATAGTGTGGCCCGACCCTAACGATCCCATTATTACTGACAATAATGACAATAATGTTGTTAATAATCAAAATGAATCT